GATTAGATTAGATTAGATTAGATTAGATTAGATAGATAGATAAGATAGATAGATAGATAGATTAGATTAAATTTGATTAGATTAGATCAGATTAGATTAGAATAGATTAGATTAGATTAGACTAGATTAGATTAGATTAGACTAGATTTAGATTAGATTAGGATAGATAGATAGATAGATAGCTAGATAGATAGATAGTGCACACACACACTCACACACACACACACATATATATATATGTATACACGTTTACGTGCACATACATGCATATGTATACGTGCCTCTCTTTCTGTCTTCTCTCTCCCTTTCTCTCACGCGCACACACACATGTTCATATCTTTTTGTAGGGGCCCGATATGGATCAAAAACATGGATCCAATAGTCTGTTGCTCGATCGTCGGGACTGACCCTGTGCACTGACTACAAAATGAGGGTGCTTAAGAAAAAACTGATATTTTTGGGGGGGACGCTTGAGCGACTTGAGTGTGGTTCCTCTTTTCGTAGAAGCCTTATTTTGGAATATTTTTGGATGCCCTTACCTTTTGAGCGCTTCATCCTGTAGCCAGCTTCTGGAGTTTGGGGGGTGTCATTCTGTATGCTGGTATGGTGTGCCCACCTGGGCAGCTACGAAGTCCAATCACAACCTCTTCCCCCAAATGTCAACAGGGATTGTTGAATTAGGTTGAACGTTGTTCTGTAGCTCTGTTTAGCTTTGTTTTCTGTTTTGCTCCCAAGGGTTGCGTTTTTTTCGCCGACAGCGACGAGTCCTGAGGTTTGTACTGGGTCGGCCTTGGATCAACCACCTTCTCTCCGAACAACGAGAGCTCCGCGGACCGTGTCATACGGCGTTCGCACGTTTTGGACGTAACACGATTCAAATTCACTCAACGCATGCAACTATTGAAGATTATTGAAGTGACAACTTGCATCCATATGCCGTTCACTCGGACATGGCTGCTTTTCAGAGTTGCATAGCCATGTTCGTTTTCAAGAATTGAACTCTTGAATGCAGGAATTTCTTGGGACATTGGCGCAGCTGAACCAGCAGCAGTGGCTGGGAGTTTCGCTTCCGAAGGACGGGCTGAGCAGAGTGTACTCAGAGTGTATCTTTGTCATCCACTTGGTCATCCACTTGTCATCCTTTGTCTCTGCCGTCCTTTCGATTTTGAACTTCAAATCTCTATTTTATTTGGCGAATTTGGTCATGGAGCTTGGCAGCTTACTCCAGGAAGAGCTATGGCGCTGGGACTCGCAAGGATTCGGAAATTCCAATCCCATTCCTCAAGAGGATGGGCTGGGTTTCTGTTCCCGGGGTATTTGTTCTAATATGTTCTAATAACATGTTCTAATATAGGTTGATATTTGTTCTATACAGATTGTATTGCAGGTTATCATTTGAACAGATTTGAAAAGAGCTAAGTTCAGGCCACCAGCATCAGAATCTCAGCATGTCTAAAAATGAAACTTTAATATCTTTGATATCTTTAATATCTTTAATATCTTTAATCAACTCTCGGCATTTTTCGATGCCAGGTCAAGGAAAGACTTGTTAGCCCTTGGCGGGAGCAGTGCTTGGGATTCGTCGGTGTTCCGCTCTACTCTGACAGCACCTGGAAGGAAACTTCAGCACCTGACAGCCTGACAGTTCCGGTATGTTCCGGTCACCTGTGTTCTGATCACCTGTGTGCCCACCTCTATTCCGACTTTATTCCTTTGCAGGCTTTACAGGTCACCAAAGATTTTGAACGTCATTGAACTACACCCGACTCATTGGAGCAGACTCTTCAAACTCTAAACATTTGAGGGTCAGCTTGTGCTAATCTCATGCTAGCACCACATGCTTTGTTTTGGGTGCAAATTTGGCAAATTTGAGGTTTTTGACCTTGTCATCACTTGATTCCCTTCATTTCCCTTCTACGCACCTGCCAAGCGCAGCAACCTAGGCGCAGCCTACAGCATGTCCACTGCTTGTTCAGTGTCTGACCAGCTACGCTGCAATGAGGCGCTTTTGCTACAGGGTTTTGACACACAATTTAAGAAAGAGAGAGAGAGAGGTCTGACAGGACAAACTTCAGACTGTTGCTAATCTCGCTAGATCGCCAAAGATCACAGCAACTCAGCAGTTGGCAATAGCGATAGGTCCACTATGAGATGCCAATGCTGCAGACCCGTTTGGAAGCTGACAACGCTCCTCCGGCTGCAAGGAAGTCAGTTGTGGGCCCTGTACGGATCTGTACTGTAAGATTAACAGTAATGATTAACATTGATCAAGAGGAAAGCTAAGTACAGAGACCTTCAGCAGCAAGATGTGATGCTCATTTTGATCCATTTTGCACCTCTTTGATCTGCCTTGCACCTCTTCACTTCTGGTCTTTCCAGATTCTGTTGGAAGGTCAACCTTCTTTTCGTCTTCGACACGCGTCCCATCACGCGGAGTGAGGCGGGACTGAGCATGTTGGATCCTCAGATGTGCTACGCAGCGCAGCTGGATCTGTTTCTGTGTTCTTCCCATGATCTTTCCATGATTTACACCTACCATCATCTACCTTTGTTGCTTTTTTATGCTAAATTTGCATAAATTTGCTTTGTTTGTCTTTGTCTACCTTGTTTGCTGGTTCGTTCGGATTCTTCCTTGGTTTTGCTGGCCCTTCAGCTTTCTTGCATGTGTTCGGTGTGCTGCTTGTTTCACACGTTTTTTCATGTGTTTCTTAACGACTGAGGTTGCAGACCTTCTTCATTTGTGTAGCTCTGGCGGTTGGCGCAATCTCCTTCTCAAAAGATGCGGACCACCTTCTGCTGGCCCCACTAGAGAGGATCCTGGTCAAACTCGAGGCCGGGTTCGCGTTGTTAACTTCTGTTAAATATCTTACATCTTCTTTTCCAAGTTCTGCCGAGTTTCCGCAAAACCACTGCTCTCAGGCTATCAGGAAGAACCCCCTTCATGCCATGAAGCTCGGAGATATCGAGTACAGGCAACTTGCTACCAACTTGCAAACCATTCTGAATGATGGTAATTTTCTGCATTTTCATATCAATTCATTGAACATCAGCAGATGCATTTCGATGAAGTGCACATGGTACAGGGAGCAAGAGCTTGAAGAGGAAGGGAATGGAGAGAAGTGGCTGAGCTGCAAAAGACTTTTACTTCGCCCATATCAACGAGGCATTTCCGGATATTTCATGATATTTCCGGATTCGACACCAAGGCGGTTTTGTTGCAACAAGAGGCGTGACAAGAGCTCGGAGCTCGAGACATTAGAAACGGCAATTTTGGAGAGGAGAGGGCAGAGAGGGCTGCCTGGTTCGTCCATGGTCTTATTACGCAGGTATGCGCAATATCATTGTGTCATATGGATTCATATTGTGTCATAGTCTGTGCACATGCGTGCCATGGACACATATCTACACCTCATGCGATCTCTGTCTCTATCTGCCTCTCTCTCTCTCTCTCTCCCCCTTCTGGCACGTTGGGTGTTTTCTTGATGATTTTATTTTAATTTGTTTGTTTGTCTTCCAGTAATTTTTGCCGCCTGGGCCTATCTTTGCAGGACATTGATCAAGCTTGGTGGTCTTCTTGCCTTAGGCTTTGGTGAGGCTGGATATGGGAGAAGGGAGAAGCTCAGGGGTGGACTTAGTCATCTTAGTACTAGGTGCAGACTATGCCAGACTGCAGTCATGAGGTGCACATGTTCTTGTCTTGATTTTCTGTTATTAGATAAATAGATAAATAAATAAATAAATGGATAAATGAATAAACGATAATAAACGTATATATATATAATTAATTTATTACAATTTTGTTTTGGCACTTTGGCCTTGGGTTTCAACATGTAAAGCTGGCTTGCTGCGGCTTGCTTCTTTGAAGGCCGGAGCTGAGATCATTGTTCACAACATGCAGGGTGGCACCTCTGCAGAACTGACACCTGGCAAAGTTGATACAACGGTGATACATGTAGATGGACATAGATGGACATAGATGGACATAGATGGATCATGTGGACCATGTTTACGAAAGATGCTTAACAAATGTTTTTAAGAGTACAGTGCAAACGTTCTTTAGGGTTCCACATCAACCTTTGCGAGGAATGCTATGGTTCCAGGCCTGGTGTTCTGCCCGTGCATTCCTTTGATGCTTTCTACATCTTTCTACCATAGAATCGTGTTTTGGATGTTTTTTTATTTCTATTTTTGACTATTTTGATGCACTATGATGCACTTTGTTCATCTTTGTTCATCCTTGTTCTCCTTCTCTCTTCCAAGCTTGGGGTTGGGTGGCAGGGAGTGGATATTTTGATAGATGCAACTTCCATGGCTCTCATTTGGAATAGTCCGAATCTGTGTTTTAGAATCCCACCGCCCGAGAAACTTCTTTGCAAGATACCATAAGTAGCATAACTTGAACTGCGACTGTTTTGATAGCCTTGACTCTTGACACACATTTGGCGACAGGACAAGAAGTGGAAGCAGTCTTTGGCTTTTGCAGCATCCGAAATTTCGGTGATGCCACCGACGTCTTGAAAGAGAAGGCCCAAATTACATTTGCGTTGACATGCGTTGACTATGTTCTCCGTGGGATGCTTTAGACGTTAAGAATGGGGCGGTGAGTGTTGTGACTTGAGTTCATTGTTTTGTTTTATTTTAAATATGTTTCTACCAGAAATGCACTTACATTCTATGCGTTGGCTCAAGTACATATTTTTGGCGAGGCAGTGTCACAATATTAGAAGGGGGTTGGCCCCAAAAATGCAACCTATCCATACCTATCCTTTATATATTTTATATATTATTTTATCATTATCCCTGTCTATATCGAAACATTTATGTCATTTATATCAAGAATTATTACTGTATATGCATTTGTGCGTATCCATATGTGCATGAAATAAGAAATAAATGAATAAGTTATATAATGTGTTATATATATATATATATATTTGTGTAATATGCACTATATATATAATATATATACATATCTTACTCTGCGCATGCATGTGCATGTATATTTGTACAAACATAATCATATGCATCGGCGCACACACACACACACACGCGCACACACAGACAGCACATACACATGTGCACAAACACGCATGTACGCATATACCTACATGCAGAGAGATAGACAGACCGACAGGCAAGCTCAGCTGGCAGACAGACATACACAAATTGCCTTAAACTGCACTAAGAGCGACACCAAGCCACGCTGACTAAGCTACACATAGCTACACATCGCATCGCATGGCGTCCCAATACACACAAGATCACACAGGTATGACCGGTCATACCTGGTATGACCGGTATGACCGGTAGTACGGTGCAGTGTGTACGATGTATGCCCTTGAGGTCATGGTGTTTGTCAACCAAGTGTCCGAGATCGTCCACG